TCGCACATAAATTGTGTCTCGGTAAAAAAGAGCACAAAAATCTGAATAGATATATTCCTCATGATCCAACAAAATGCACACCAAAGCATAGTGGTACACACACATAAGAAAGTTCACAACAGCTTTATTTGTTTAAACTATAAACAATCAAATCAAGTCATCAGTAAAATGGATAAATACATTGTGGCATATTCTTATAATGGCTTAGTATCCAGCAATGAAAGTGAATGAGCTACAGACATATCAATCAACAGGGATAAATTTTACAGATATCAAGCTGGATGAAAGAAAGCAGACACAGAGCAATCATGTTCTATAACTCCACTTATATGAAGTTCAAAAAACACACAAAGCCAAACTAAAATGTTTAGGAGGGCATGCCCAGGTGATAAAAGTATAAATAAACACAAGGAAGTGGTTTCAGATGAAGTTGGCAGAATCTTTCTGGGAGGGAGGCAGCAATTGGGGAGGCGCCTGCTATGTGCTCAAGTCCTGCAATATTGCTCCTTGACTTGGTGGCAAGTACCTAGATGCTCATTTATAAGTCATTAAGCTGTTACATGTGTATTTTATGGACTTTTTCTGTGGATCTATTATATTTCACAAGATACAAGCATTTAACGTAATAATTAAGGTGCATTCTTGTGTCTCGCAGAACTCACTGGCTCTGGTTTCATGAGAAGGAGTTCTTTAGATTAATCATACCTATGCAGAGTTGGTACATAAATGCACACACAACATCCATAAGTGAAGATCAGTACTGATTGTTCCTAGAAAAAGGGGGCTGAGAATTAATAAAGAAGAAAAATTTGACTATTTAGCCAGTTAAAAAGATAAAGGATAAAAATACTGAAAAGTTAAATGATAAATTAGAAAAAAATAATTATAATCAGACAAATTAACTGAAGTCAATTCTCTGGGAGGCTGGATTTCAAATGCTAATAAACATGTAAATATTAAAATGAAATTTAAAGCTGATAGGGAAAATATTCTTCACTTGAAGCATGATTACTGCTGCAGTCAGAAACAAACAAACAACACATGACGGTTTGAGTCACCATCTCTGGGCTCTGGTTCCCTGTCTTTAGGTATCAGGTAGTGATGCATCCCGCCTGGAGGTGCTACGCTGGTCCCTGTGGAAGCGTGTGGCACCTGGTGGGCTCTGTGATGTTTAAAATCACTCCTCCTTCCCCAACAACCTGTCTGAAGTCATCGCTCACTGAGGTGTTGCTTCTTTCCAGAGTGGGTCCCCTGCCTGACCTCTGAGTGCCCCAAATCACCCCACTGTGGACCACAGCTACTTCCTCCCAGGGGGCCCCTCTGGCTATGCTGTGTGGCTGGGAGGGAAGGGGCTTCACAGTTGAGTCTGGCAGGGGTTGTGGGAAAGGGTTCTGCAAGAAAGCAACAGAATCAGTTTTCAAAATGTGCGTGGGTCATTCCAATTCATACCCCTGGTTATAGGTGTCAGAAATCACTTCAGGTGCAGAGAGGCCCTTCCCATGAGAGAGGGATGGTTATGGGGTCACCCTAAAAGGAAGCTCTGTATAATAGGGACCACAGGGGTGCCTGGGTGGCTCCGTGGGTTAAGTGCCTTCAGGTCAGGTCATTATCCCAGGGTCCTGCTCAGCAGGGAGTCTGCTTCTCCCTCTCCCTCTGCCCCTCCCTCTGCCCCTCCCCCTGCTCATGCTCCTTCTCTCAAATAAAAATAAAGTCTTAAAAAAACAATAACAGGGACCACAGACTGCTGCCCCTCCTTCCTGCAGACAGAGGGGAAAACAGGTGACTATCTGCTGAGTGCCAGGCAGCAAATAGGGGAGATTACAATGCTTGCAATGAGCACCATGATGGGGTAGGACTCTTCCACCTGTGCCCCAAATGCTCCCACCAACCCCACATGCCTTCATCTCCTCAACCCAGTCTTGGGCTGAACCCTGGGCAGTGTTCCTCCAAAACACGCTCCACAGCATGCGCCTGCCCTTCTAGGGTCTCCTCATCCTCAAGACGAAGTCCAAACTGGCACGGCTCAAGACCCTTCATGACAGGTCACCTGCTCTCTGCCCCTAACTTTTCTGGAGGTCCAGGAGTTCCAAGCTCTCTCCTCAGGTCTTTGCCTTTCCTCCGGCTGCCTGCTCCCACCTCCCTCGTGGCTCCCTCCTAGAGAGCCTTCCCTTACCTCCACACAGAGGTGAATGCCTCTTCTGCCTGTTGGCCTGGCCTGTTCTCCCAGTGAGCAGAACCAAACAGATATTTAGATTCTGTCCCAGGAGAGAGTGACCCAAGGTTGGTGGGTGGTCACTGCTCATTCATTCACTCATTCACTGAATCCACACAGCCATGTCAGGACTGAATCCATCCTGATGGGGAGGAGCAGGGGGACAAGTTGGACATGGACGCTGCCTGCATTGAGCAACTAATCTGATGGGAAAGACAGACATTTAGACCACCAGGAGTTCCTACCTGTTATGGGGGCCCCTCTGCCAGGAGCTGGGGGGGGCAGGGAATTGGGGGACACAGGAAGGAGGGGAAGCAGGGAGGGAGGTTAGTGGGGCAGAGGGAGGTGAAGGTTGTGCACAGAGCCTGGGTTTGAACTCTGACTCCACAAATAACTGCTCTGCTCATGGAAAGCCTCTGTGAGAATAACAGGGCCACCTGACTCAGGGTTTGTTGCAAGGATTAAATAAGAAAACCCATGCAAAGCACTCTACAGTGTTTGGAGGACAGCAGACACCGAACAAAAGTTAGTGAGGTGAAGCTAAGATCTAAGAAATGAGAAGGCAGAATCCAGGTGAGGATGTGGCAAGGGAAACATACAGCAAAAAGAGGGAACAGCATATGCAAAGGCCCCATGGCAGGAAGAGGCATGATGAGTTTAAGGAACAGAGAGGTTGTCAGGGGGATGGAAGTGTCTAGCCAAGGGTTGATGGGGGGGGGGGGCACTGAAGGAGAGAGGAGGCCAGACCTCAAACAAATCCTAAGCTTCTGACCTTCATAGTAGTTACCACCCAGCCCCCTTCCAGCCCCGCCCCCCCCACCCCCCCCCCCCCCCGCCGCGAGGACTCCGGGCCTCCTTCCCAGGATCGGGCGGGGGGGGGGGGGGAGGAGGAGCCAACGTCAGTTCACTTCCGCCCCCAAAGCCTAATCAATCTGGCTGCAGCAGCGCGCAGGGGGAATGGAGAGACTGCTCCGTCCTTCTCCACGGAGGTAGCTGCAAACCTCGTCTCCCTGGAAACCGGAATAATCATGGGAAGTAAGCTCATGGCAGCTCCGCTCACGCGCGTGGGTGCCACGATTATTATACAAGCTGATTTACACACTGTCCTTTTAAAACCTGTACACCATAAATGTGAAAGAAGGCTCACTATTCCCACTTTTCTGGCAAGTCATCCTGCATGAGGAGCAGGACAGAACGAGGAGGTTCAGCCGATGTTCTAAAATCTGCACTCCCTGCTAAAAATACAGTGAAACCTGCTCCTTCTCCTCACAGCTATGGCAGTTCGAGTCAATCCCACGCAAATGTCCAGAGAGCCGCATGAAGGGCCTTCATATTACATTTACTGGGCAGATGGTTTCCGTGAAAGGTGGGCGAGGGGCTCCTGCACGCGGGCCGCCTTGCGAATGTGGGTGCGGCTTTCTCCAGACACAAGGAACCTCTGGGGGCTTGTGCCCCTACTTACCGAGCACCAGTGGACATGCACTCTGCCCAGGAAAGGGCATGAAGCTGTGAGCTCAGGGGCTGTCTCCGTAGGCCAGAACTGGCTAAGTCGGTGGCCGGAACGGACGTGTGTTCCCAAGCACGCGGCCTCTCCCCAGCTCTTTCCCTAGCTGCAGCCGCGCCTGCCTCTCCTGGATGCAACGCAAAGTTATTTAACGCTGCAGTTAGCCGGCAGAGTGAGTCATGGGCTGTCCAGGCCTCGCTGCGGCAGCAGCGGAGATGGTGTGGAAGGAAGCGCCGGCGCAGGCCCAGCCTCTCGGTCTGGTGGGACCTCAGGGGGCCTTCCAGAGACGTCCCGTCCCAGGGCTCCTTTCAGGAAGAGGATGGAGGGCCCAGAGAGACCGGGGGGAAGGTCATCTCCCTCGCCCCGCACACGCCCACGCTTTCCTTCACCCACCTTGAGTTCCCGGGGTCAGAAAGAGGCGCTTTACCGCCCCCCAACCCCCCACCGTTGCCCTCAGGCCGTGAACGGCCTTCTGATGAGTTAACTCACACGTACCCGAGCCTGAGGAAAATTCCTGCACGATCCCGGAGAAGGGCTTTTTAGACTAAAGTCCAAATGAGATTCATCCGAGGTTCTGCCTGAGGCTTCACCTCTACCCACCTCCCCACCACCCTCACGCACACGAGCCGGCGATTCCCAGGCTGCGCTGGAGGGTCCCAGCACCTGATCTCCTTCTCTCTCCTTTCCCTGGCATCCAGACACCCGCACCCATCCCCCCCCCCTCCGCTCAGCACCCAGGCTCACCTCTTCCCTGGGCTCCCATCTCCCCTCCCTCTCACCCAAACCTCCTTCCCACCTGGGCTCTCCCTTCCTGCGTCCTCCTCCCTCCCCTGATCTGCAGACTGGCCCCCTGCCCTTCTCCTGCACTCAGGCTCTCCCTCATACCCCTTCAGCACCCGGCTCGCCTCTTCCCCCCTTCCCTGCACCCCAAGCTAACTTCCTCAGGCTTCCAGGCCGCTGGCAGGCCGGTGAGAGCGGAACCTGGTCTTCGGGGAAGTGCAGACCTAGGGGCACAAGAGGGGGGAGGTATTGGGGGGGACCCCTGGGGGCAGCCAGGGGTAGGGGAGAGAACCCTGGGGTGGGGGGTGGTGCTCCCCAAGCGGCCAGGATAGTGGGAGGAAGGCGGAGAGACGAGAGAGGGGGCACTTCTTCTTGGGGAGGCGGCGGAGGGGCGTCCTAGGGGCTGCGGGGGCTGGGGGGGGGCGGAGGAGGGCGGTGCCTGGGCCAGGCTCACGGGGCCGCGGGTGGGGTGGGGGGAGTGGAGCGTCCAGGGAGGGGCGCCGCGGGCTGGGGAGGGGGCGCGCGCGCCCTGCGGTCCTCCGCGCCGCATCGGTTCCCGGCGCGGGGCCGCGGCGGCGGCGGCGGGAGGCGGAGGATGCGGACTCCGGCGGCGGCGGCGCGGGCCAGGGAGGACGCGGGAGGATGAGGAGGAGGCCGGCGGTCCGGCCGCGCGGCGCCGGGAGGAGGCGCAGGCGGCGGGGGCGGCGGCGGGCGGCGGCGGGCGCGCGGGGTGCGGGCCGGCTCGGGCGCGGAGGATGAAGTGGAGCGTCCGCGGGGCCTGCGCCGCGCTCTCCTCCTGCCTCCTGCTCGCCTGCGCGCTCAGCGCCGCCGCCGTCGGCCTCAAGTGCTTCTCGCTGGGCTCGGAGCTGCGCGGGGAGCCGTTCCGGCTGGGGGCGGCCGCCGGCGCCTTCTACTCGGGGCTGCTGCTGGCCGCCGGCCTCTCGCTGCTCGGCGCCGCCCTGCTCTGCTGCGGGCCCCGGGACGCGCCCCTCGCGGGGCCGGGGCCGGGGCCGGGCCCGGGCCCGGGGGCCCCTGCGGCCCAGGCAGGGGCTCCAGAGGCTGCGCCGGGGGAGCCGGGGGCCGCAGCCGGGCCCCCAGGGCCAGTGAACAGCCAGAACCTGCTCCTGCTCGGCGTCCTCGTCTTCATGCTCGGGGTCCTCAGCGCCTTCGCGGGCGCCGTGATCGACGGCGACACCGTGTCGCTAGTAGAACGCAAGTACTCCCACTACTGTCTGCCCCCCCGCGCGCCGGCCGCCGCCCCCGGCGCGGCCCCCGGCCCCGCGGCCGCCGCCCCCGGCCCGGCCCCCGGCGCGCCGCGCGCCCGCAGCGCCCTGGACAGCGCCACGTCCGCCAAGTGCCGCCAGCTGAAGGACTACCAGCGGGGCCTGGTGCTTTCCACCGTCTTCAACTCGCTCGAGTGCCTGCTGGGCCTGCTCAGCCTCCTGCTGGTCAAGAACTACAGGTCGTCGCAGGCTCGGCGCGGCCGGCGCGGCCGGCGGAGGGGAGGCCGGGCCCCGGCGCGGCCCCGCGGCGGCCCCGGGCTCCGCGCGCAGCCGCCGGCCTCCCGGGCGCGGCGGGGCCGGCGGGGCCGGCGCGGGCGGCGGCTGCAGCCGCGGCCGAGCGAGGCTTCCATCCTGTCCCCGGAGGAGTCGGACTTGGCCGCCCCGGGGGACTGCGCGGGCTTCGCGGCGCACCACGCAGTCTCCTACATCAACGTGGGCGTCTTCCACGCGTTCGACGAGGCGGGTGTGGAGGTGTGCTGCGGGGGGCACCCGTCGGTGGAGCTGCCGGGGTACGCGCCCTCGGATCCCGACCTCAACGCCTCCTACCCCTACTGCTGCCGGCCGCCCTGCGAGGCGGGGCGCCCGTGGGAGCCAAGCCGGGCCTGCTGAGCCCCCGGGCCCACCCCAGACGGACCGCGCTCGGGCCCGCGCGCGCCTCCCGGCCCGGCCACCCAGCGAGGGACGACCTGGGCCGCTGTGGCTTTGCACCTTCAGGGGCGGACTGGCCTCGCGTCGCCGAGGGCTCCTCGCCGCGAGACTGGTCCTTCACTATTACCATTTCTGTGTCTGGGAGGTTTCTCTTCTTTTCCGTGTCTGTTCGTATCCGGATTCCATTTTAAAGTTTACAATAAATGTTTTGGGGTTGCCTCGCCCCCATCGCACTTCTCTTTGGCAAGTCCGGTCCAGGGTGAGAGAGTTCGGAGAGCGAGGGTGATTTCGCGGGAGGAACCCTCGCTGAGAGGACAGAAAGACAGAGCAGCTGGTACTTTAGGGTTGGCAGAAGTGGAAAAGCACCCAACAGCAACACTTTGTACACGGATGTGCCTGCTTTCGTTGATACTTTCTTACTGTAAAGCTCTCCATAAACAGTGAAAATGTTTGGTAAATTTATTGCAATTTAAAATTGGTTAGTTCCTTTGTTAAATTAATTGCTATGTTATTGGAGATATTCATCAAATTGGAGTTAGGGGGTGTCGACACACAAATCAGTTTGGGGCAAATGGTTGAAGTTGGTCAAATGTTGAATTTGAACAGTTGTATTCTGCTAGGTGGTTGACTCCATCCAACCTCTTCCTAAAGCTAACTTTCAGACATTTCTTTTTTTGGAAACTGGCAGTGGGGTTTCTACTGCAAAGCTGAGCTTATTTTTGGTTAATATATATGAACAATCCAATCCTATTTTGGAAAATCACAGTCATAGTTTTTCTGGCAAAGATTATTTTCCTGTTAATTAATTCATTAATCTGGTAATTTTGCATATTATAGCATTTCATTTAAAAATACACCCCTTAAATAGCCTTAATTGATGTGAAGGTCATACTTTTATATCCTTAGGATATACATATGTGTGCATACTTACACACACGATATGAAATGCATTCTAGGTGACAGCAAAACGTGTTTCCATCCAGTCTGGTGGGCTGGCTGGGAGCCAGCCTGGCTCAGAGTCTTGGGGAAAAGGTAATTCAACTGTATGTGCTGGAATTGTGGCGCCAGACAGGAATGCCGATAATTCTTAAGGTGCTTGGAGCAGAGCCCCACCCTGGCCTGAAGAGTGTGTGTCTCCTGCGAGGGGAGGTGTGGACCCACCCAGTGCTCTGCCAGGGGGTGAGCACCACACAAAACACTTCAGGTGAGAAAAGCTAAATAAATCGTGTGTAATATCTTTATAGTGTATAGGGTTCACTTCTAATTGTGGGAATGTAGCCAGATTTAAGGGATGAAGGCAGAGTTTCCAGGTCCAGGCTCTGGGGTGAGACTTCTCCTCAGCTCACAGGTATCTTGCACAAAACCAGAGTTCCCTATACCTAGACAACCAAGGCCCCCATCCCAGCTGGGACTTGGCTGGGCTGCCCAGCTGCAGCGGAGGCTACTGGAGAGAGGAGGTCCCACATCCATGCAGAGGAATGGAGGAGACCTGTCACCCGTCAGCACTTGATCCATGGAGGTGACAAGCCCATCACGCTGATGCTCGGGCAATTCCTGTGTAACATGGGGGTCTGATCAGAGGCAACAGGCCAGTGTTTCCTCCTTGTTATGTTGATGCCACCTGAGGAAAGAGGATGATTCACAGCCAATTTAGTAGGTTCTCATCCACAGTTCTATTCAGATATTGGCCCATATTCAGCCTCTGGATTCAGTCAGGTTGAGTGCAGGGCCCAGCTAGTCCCACTGCTGGTCCTCACAGCCTGGTCCCTCTCATGCCCCTGCATCACCAGCCCACTGACCATCAACCTTATGCAGAAAATATGATACTTGGCAGCAAAAGTGGGTTTTGAGATACTTTTTCCCATCTACCTAAGTCAGATCAAGAAGGAATTGCCAGGTGTTTCCTGCCTCCTGAGCAGGAATGCTCCCCACTCCTGGAGCAGAGGTCTCGTAGACAGCTGCCAGGCTGACCCCCCAGAGCTTACACAGCAGAGGTGGCTAGGCCAGTGTATCCTGGATGGGCGGGCACACGGTGGGAAGGCCTGGGCAGGGACCACCCCAACAGAGCAAACAGCATGGACACAAGATGTCAGACCTCCCAGTATCCTTCTTATTTTCTGAAGTGTTCCATCTTAAACTAATTTGTACACCTTAAAATGTTATCTGCCTTATGAATCTTCCAAATTTGCAATCAAAACCAGTGACCTCTCTAAAGTTTCAGAGATTTCTTGGGAGAGAACAGAAGGCAGAGGGGGGTGAGGTGGGTGAGGCCAGCGCAGGAGCCAGCCGGAACATTGCACCATCTGTGTGGTCATCTGGCCAGGGCAGCAGGGAGCATCTGGGGGTGCGTCGGCAGCTGCTTTTCCCCACAGAAGGCGAACTTCTATGTGACCAATAGACTAGATGAGATTTTTCAAGGTGCGAGTGTTTCTAACTCCACAAATATTGTTAACTCCACTTTATAGAGGCTGATATAATGATGTGGGATGACATCAATTTTATTTTTTAGAGTTTATTAGAGGAAATAAAATCAAGTCTCCCTAAACTTACATTGTTCCAAAGATGTCAGGGACATGAGTGGGGAATTATGAAGCTACTGAGCTTCCTTTGAATTAGGACTGACTTCCTGGGGACCACTCCCACGCCTTGACGGGCACCTGCCTCGCGGCACTCCTCATGCACGTCCATTCTACTTCCTGTAAGTTTTAGGTTTTTAAAATCGATTCCTTATTCTCCTTAGAAAATAATGCCAGTCCTTGGAACTTTCTTAAAATGGGTCTTTCTCTGCTTCTCAGAATAATAATGAACTCCTGGCTGGTCTAGTGGTGGCCAGACGGAGTTCATGATTATGACCAAGTACCAGAATGAAACAAAACACATTTTAGTTGTTTCATGGCTTAGTGCTGAGTTGTAAGTTATTATTTTTAACATGAAGGTTGTTTGTCTTTAAGGGAACACTTTAAGGTAACACGTGAGGTAGTCACCAAACAAGGCACAAACGTTTACCTAGATTGATCAGCAGGCCTTCCCAGGGTCTCAGGTATCTTTCTTTTGTCCGAAGGGGTGCTCTGCCCTTGGCAACACAAATCTGAACCACACAATTGAATTTTTGACTGAAATTCAATTAAACAATCATTTGATTTTAAAAACCAGTCAGATAGTCTTTGTGATGAAGATCATGCAGCTGGTGCTTAAAGATTTTAGTCCTGGCACAGCACAGGCAGAGACCTTGACCACGCACATACACACATACACGCATGAACACACACACAAGTGCACACAAACACAAATGCATGTGTATGCCCGTGTATGAATGTGTGCACACGGACACACATACACGTGTGCACACACCCATGCACAGACACACATGCAGACACACACTGCCTCATGAGAAGCGTCTGAGGGCCAGACCAGCAGCCCTGCCCGTGGCATCCAGGGCTCCAGGTAGAGCCTGTCTGGGTTGGAGAGGCCGGGCTGCAGACTGGCACAACCAACCCCTTGCAGTGTTGTAGGGTTTGCACGTGGGGAGCATGCCCTGGAGGGTAGCTGGTGGGTGCTGAGCTGCGTGGGGGCCTGCACACTCTGTTGCATCAGGGGGAGAGAGGGGGGGTGGGCCCTCACCTGGCTGCCAGCACAGCACAGCAAGCCACACGTGAGCTGCCCTGGCATCGGTGCCAGTGGGTGCGGAAGGCTGAGCTCCCAGGTGCTTAGGTGGGTCTGTGTTGCATAGACACCTGCCACGGCTTGTCGGTGCTGACCTCTTTGATGTCACCTTCAGCTCAACTCCCCCTCTGAGCGAGGGCTGCCTGCATGCCACGCTGTCCTGGGGTGCCCTCAAGGTTATTATTGCCCCAAAGCATGGCTTTCTCATCAAGAAAGAAAGTGAATGAATGACAGAAACCTTAGGAAAAGTGAATTCTGGCATATAGTTATGGATAAACTTTATATACCTATGTACCTATTTCTCCATGAGGCAGAGCAGCAGACTAATGCCAACTGGTTGACTTTCCAGGTGATCCAATATGTGCTTGATTTGCCACTCTTTAACACAGTGACTGACAGGAGCAGAACACCAACAAAATGGGGAAAAAATGAACTTAGGAAAAGAGTATTCATGAATCATTGTGTCCCCAATCTGAATTCTCTAAGGACTTCCTGGGGTGGCAGGAGAAAACCTGGTGGTTCCCAGAGCTGTGTTTATAACAGTTGTCTTAAAATCTCCATGTTTAGAGGGGACTCTATTTATACATGGGGGTTTCATCTAGAGAAGCCCAGATCTCTGTTTTGCCTTTTTATCTGCCATTTATCAACAGAATGTCAATAAAATGTCTTGTCACTTTGGGATCAATAAAATCTGTGTTAAAGCACAACACATTCCTTTAAGCACACAAACAGCCCTTTACTCCTTGTCTCTGCATGGGTCTTGTCGTGACCCTCAAGACTCTGGCCGAGCGTGGCCAGATCTCCCCGGGATGTGCAGAACAGGTAGGTGGGTGGACAGAGACCACTCTGGCCCCGCATTGCCTCAGCCCTGGTTCTGCTGGGGGCATCTGGAGGGGTACCCCACCTCACCTGCCTTTCTCCCCAACACCCAGGCCCCAGATTTGGCCTTGAGTACCTGCTGTGGTCCTTACCCTTTTCCTAAACCACCAGCCTGATCCCTTTCTCCTCAACTCCCGGTGCATCATTTCCCTAGAACATGGGTCAGATCATGCTATCCTAGTCAGAACCTGCTCTTCAAGAACTGCCCTTTTCCTGAAGGAAGCAAAATCTGGTGGACCTGGCCCAACCTGACCCTTCAGCCTTCTCTGTGAGCTACCAGGGGCTGGGGACAACCTGCCCAGAGGCTCCTATCTGGTAGGTCTCTATGAATAAATAGTGTGGCAAACATCGTATCCTGGGTGTGCAGTAGGGAAAACAGAATGAGCTGATCGGGAGAGGAAGGAGGGTGTGTCTCTTGAGCAAAGTGCGGGGCTGGTACTGTGGGCCTGGACCACCACAGGCCCCTGGAGCGCGAATTCGTTGCCCATGGCTTCCGTCACAAATCACCACAAACTGGGTGCCTTCTCTCACAGTCTGCGGCCTGAGATCAAGGTGTTAGCAAGGTTGGGTCCTCCTGGAAGCTCCGAGGAAGAGTCGATTCCAGACCTTTCTCCTGGCTTCTGGTGGCTCCTAGCGATTCCTGGTGTTCCAATCTCTGCCTCGTCTTCATGCGGCCTTCCCGTCTGTCCCCGTGTGCCCTCCACTGTGGCTTACAAGGACATTCTCATTGGATTCTCATTGAATTTAGGTCCCACTGTAATCCAGTGTGATCTGCAAATAAGGCCATGCTCTGGGTGGACCAAACTTTTGGGGGGGACAATACTGAACTCAGTGCAAAGCTCAGTTGAGGTCTGCGGTTTGCTCATTCTTGCCTGCAGGAAACGTTTATGCCTTTCTGTGCGGGGCTAGCTGCTGAGGACCTCAGAGCACCAGCACTCCTGGCCTGGGACATGCTGTGCGAGAATGAAGCTGTTGGAGCGCTCATCAGACCTGAATAGATCATCCAGATGAATATTCTAAAAAAAGCCGAAACATTAAAATTAATTGCCCAAGGGGAAAAACTTCCTGAAAATAAGTTATATGTGCTATATTTGCAAATATTTTGAGATAACAGCCACAATAACTGCATTCTTTTGCAAATCCAGACAGGCATATGTCATTCTCCCCTCTATGCAGGGTTGGGGCAGGAGTGGCCTCAGTGCCCGGGAGGTGGGGGGGCTGCCAGTCCAGCTGGGAGACAAAGGGTTCAGGACCCCAGGCTATTTTGAAAGTGACCTTCCCCCTCTGACAGGGATTCTTCTAGGCCTCTCTACCTCAGGACATTTG